GAAGATTTAAGTTTTATACCTACATATGCAATGTAAATAGTAAGAAACACTCTGATCTCTGAAACCTTCAATGTAGTTAGTTTGCAGGAAGGTTCTGTCAGGATCCAGTAAGTCTGGAGAATTGAGCTTTGCACACTGAATTGTGCCATCATCACAATCTGGTCCATCCTTCTTCAGAAAACTGAAATTTGATGTCACATATGAAAGATTGTCTTTGTAAGAAATTACAATTACTCTACAAGGCTCAAGAAATTACCCAGTTTAATCATCTAAAAAGCCAAACAAACTCCTTGAACAAAAGGAGAACCACCTCAAAACGATGAAGTCAGAGAGTTGCTGTGGTTGCTGCTGACTTTTGGGGTTTGTTTTCCTGATAGAACAATCTGTTTCTGGAATTTTACATCTCGAAGGCACTGGGAAAACAGAAGATAGTTTTCATGTAACAGAAGATTATTTGGACACCAAGTGTTTCTGAAATATGACTGGATATATGATAAAACAGTGATTACTCTTGCTGTCATTTTTAAGATAAACTTATCTTCAGATCCCTGATGTGGAAGAAATCTCTTCCTTGTGAACTGGCAGGGAGAAAATACCCACATGGGCAAGCAGGGTGGTTAGTCTCATGAAGACCTAAGCAAAAATGATGCAATACCAGGCAGCCACAAATAGATAATAAAGACAAAGGAATTAAGTTCAAGATGGCCCTTTCCTATGTCTTTTGCATCTACATTAGCACAACTTTTATTGTTCAGAATTTTTTTTTGATTCTTTTGCCATATGTGTGGGCTACAAGCACGTGTCTCCTAACTGGTGGAGCATCTCACATCTCAGTAATAAAAGGAGATTGAGAAGTGCTCCAGAGGCCTTGCTCCTTCAAAACGCTCTCAACGACAGTGTCACAAATTAGTATCTTTCAGGAAGATGTCTGCTGCCAGGGTAAGCTTTGATAAGAGAAACAGCAGCTGAAATTTAAACTTAGAAATTTCTGTTATGCTGACGAATGCCACGTAATGAGAATTACACTGTGAATTACGCTGTAGGCCCCACTCTTCTTAAATACAACGGCTTACTTTAGAGCAGTTTTGTGGCTCTTCCAGAAGAGCTCAGCCTTGGCACAGGAGCTGTAAGTTGAACTGATCATCACCCTAAAATACCCCCTCAGTATCAACAGTTTTGCAGTTCTGCCTGAGGCCATCTTCTCTTTAGCCTCTCGCATGGCTCAATCTGGATTGACATGAGCACATGATGAACAGAATATGGTCCAGGGTCCTTCAGCTGATAGAAGATCAGAGTCAAATCTATCAAATCCTACACATTGCATAGGATCAGGGTTAATCAAATAGCTTCACAATATAATTTGAACATGTTTGATGTACGGGGAAAATACTTTAATACCTTACATTGGTCTCTGAGCTCCAGGAAAAATGTGTTCCCTCTCTAAATATCTCTAGCGACTCTACAGTGGACAATGGTGTTCAGTGCTATAAGTCCCATGGGAAGCAAGAGAACCTACAGAATCATGAGTTTTCCTGTCATTGATGTTATGCAGCAATTTCTTTTTACCTCTATCTTCATGCAATTCCACCAAGACCTACATGTGTGAGGAGGAAAGCAGGTTTTACAATATTGTCCAACGTCTGCTAAATTCCAGGTCAGCTAACAATGGAAGCAGGACATATTTTCTTCTCCTGGGAAGCAAATATACATACAGATTCTCTTTGCATATGCTAAAATATGCAAATATGTAAAATATGGATTATAATTAGGGGAAAGTTAGAATAGATTTGAATGCTTAACGCACCCTTGGTAGTTCTTGTTTCATTTATGTATGATGCCCTGTACACTAAAAGATACTTCACCATAATTGTGCCCTTTCAGTGCAATCATGTAAATTTTGCTCTTTTTTCCCTTGTTCTTCCTCTGCATGCTGCCACGGTTATTGCAGTAATCCTGGAGTGAAGGAGGTAAGGACTGGTAGAGAGTCGGGGTGTCACAGAATTAGAGCTCTCAAGAGCAAGCAGGGTAATTCCTCGCTGGCCCACAAGGCTGCCTTTGATGCATAGGTTAGCACAGTGCAATGCCCCAAACTTAATATTCAGTGAACTGGCATTTAATACTGAACTCCAGGCGACATAATTTCCTCTGCAGCAACCTCTGTGCTCATCAAGAGGGGTGTCTGTGGGTGCAGAGAGCACGTGTGTCTGGAATGGCACGATTAAAAATCACAGAGCTTGGACCATTCAAGATCTGCTTTCTCAGGGCTATGCACCTTACTGAGCAGTTTACGACGAAGCAAATTTATTAGGATTTATCAGGAAAGTAAATCTCATCACAAAATTATCATTTCTGCTGTTGAACTTTTTTAAAAAATATTTTTCACTTTTTAGTTATGTTAATGTTTTTTGACTCATTTCTTTTGCACCTTCTTGCAAGTACATATTTTCCCCACTTCATAAACTTCATAAATTTCATAAAATCGTGTACTGGATATATGAACTTGCTTCTTGTTTGTATTGTTTCAGCAGTATACCCCAAAGGCCTCAGAAAAGGGTTGAAAATTTGATTGGGACTATGGAAAAAGGAAGAGTAGTGACCTGCAACAGCTGTTTGTCAAAGCTTGGAAAACACTCATGACAAGGCTAATTAATTTATTCCTTAATTCCTTTCCTTCTGTTTAATGCCCACGATAGCTGTGAACTGCATTTGATTTCCCTGTGTGTTTCTGAACCATGTTGCACTTCTGTTAATCATGCTCCTTAGCACTGACTGTAAGTACTGAAAAAAATGTCACTCAAACATATTATGTTACTGCAATTCAAACTTTGAAGGTAACCTGATAATGTTAATGTTTATCGGAAATTTCTTGAAAAGATGCAGTGTGAAAACTGAGTATTTGATTTTGATTCTCCTATTTAGCTTTGTTTCGTTCCTGTTTTGTTCCATTCTTAATCCTTTATTTTTATATTGCATATAGTAATGCTTCAACACTTTTGAAACACTTTGAAGAAATGTTCTTAACAATTACAAATGTAATTTTGTTCTGAATATTTTATCTTATTAATGTGTCAATCTTTTAACATTAATTCTTCACCTCACAACTCTAATATATCTCACTATAGGTGAGCATTTTCTTGCTTTATAACATAAAATGATCTTTCCCTTTTACTAACACATATGCTAGTACCTACAAGCAAACATTGTACTTTTAAATAAAATTTTAGTAGTTTAGGGTTTTTCAGGACACCATCAGCTGTAATCTTTAAAACTTTTCATGTTCCATGCTCCAACTGCAAACATTTCTATTTATCCTGACAAAGGTTGAATACGATGATACCACACGTGCACCTCACCACACACACATATGCTTTATTTTGGGCAAGATTGCAATGAACCTTTCCTATACATTATGGATGAAAAAACAAAAACAAAAAAGCTAATGTGACCCACTGCAGCAAGCTGTAAAGCAATAACTTTGATCTCCAGAATTATACACATTTCTGCCATTCAGCACCGACTGACCAGCTAATGTTAAGAAAGCCATCTACTATATTCAGACTTCACTCTTCAAGTGTGCTCTGCCTGTAGATTTAACTAATACGAGGCTGGTAATAGAAAAAGACATCAAAGAGAAAACAGATGTTATCCCTGGAAGTCAATTTTCTTACCAGCTGTCACAAAATGTTTTTACATATTCTTATTCTCTCTTTAGATGGAGCAAGACACCAATGGACAGGACCTCATGGAGGTCTCTATGAACACGTCCAACTTGCAGAAAGGCAAAACTGAATACAGCCACATTCAGCTTTGTGATTTGCCTCCACCTCACCAACACAAATTGTTTAGATTTATTGCAAAAAAAAAAGAAGTATAAAAAGCCCATAAAAGTGTTTTCCAGAATTTTCAGACTTTTTTTTTGTTATCTTGATGTCCTGATGATATCCCATGCCTTTGCTTTTCCAAGGAGCTGGTCAATATAAGTTACTAGTGACCAGATGCACTCACTTATACTGAAAAGCTTTGTACAATGAAGGAGCAGAGATTAACATTTATCAGCTGATCTGTGACCACCTTCCTGGTATAGGATATTCCTCTGGCTGCTTTGGTTCATTTATATATTTATTTTCAGGAGAAATCTGCTATTATAAGGGCAGCTTTGCCTCCATTTACCCTAGAGATTGGAGGTCCCTTCCAACAGCTTGATCCAAAACCACATCTGTGATCCAGTGCCTGCTAAACTCTGCAGGTGTCAATTGGCATCAGAGCATTCAAGTTCAAGGCTGAAGTATTTGGGAACAACTTTAAAAAACTACAATACATGGTGCCAAGAGTTAAAGCCGGTAGAATGGAGAATAGGAGCGAAGGAGAGAGAGAAGAGTATTCTCATGGAGGTTTTTCTTCTCTGTTTAACATCAACATTTCAAACCCCTAATTTTTTCTGCCATTCCTACTGAGGACTGTGAGGAATAAGCAAATCCAAAATGTCAGACCAAAACACACAGTCAACTGTTTTTCCTGTTCAAGTATGTACGATTCTATATCCTCTCCTCACTTTCTCTGGCAAATTGCCATACCAGCACCTTCCTTGATCCAGTTTTCGAGGGAATTTTTGAGAGCTACCTGGCCCTGGAACCCCACTATAGGGCTCAAACCAAGCTACTGTCTGTTATGAGAAAATGCCTGGCAATAGTCAGAATGTCTCAGATTCCCATGATTCAGCTGAAAGAAAAATACAGGCTCCTATGTGAGGAAGGACTCCATTGCTCTTGTTAGAAGAATTAATCTAGACAAAAACAAAGACTACAGAGAAAGGGAATGCCTCTTGTTAGAGAATGAATATTGCTCTTGGATATGCATGCGTAACTTCCGAAGTTAACAGCATATCAAAGGCAGGTTTAGGCCACAGGACATTTGCTTCATGAGCCGTGGATCCAGAGGAAGGGTGGGAATAAGAGCCCTCTCTAGTTATATTATGGCTAGCAAACATTTTAGTTGCCTACCTGTTCCATTTCCGTAAATGTGCTCTGCTCCTCATCTTCCTCCTCGATATCAGACTCTCCCACAGCAATAGGAACACAAATGGACAGGTCAGGATTGGTCATGAAATCATCGTTGTCCATAATTCCCAGGTGTTTCTCCCCGTTTTTATTCATGCCATCCTCAGTGTGGTTCTCCTTGTAGCTCTCCATGTCTTTGCCAAGCTCGGTAGTTGTGTGGCTGTTCACGCAGTTGTTGAGAGCACCTGTATTCTGGGCAGCAAGTTTCATCATTGCCTTTTTTTCAGCAGTTGTTTTGGGATGCCGGAGGACGCTGCAGCAAAAATCCCACGTTGTGTGCTTCACATATTGAAGTCCCCTGTTGATCCGTGCAAAAGCAAGCTGTAGGTTGTTCATCTCTCCATCCTCATCAGGTGCCGAGAGGTTGTCAGCACTGAAAGAGCTTAGCAGCAAGGCAAGGAAGAGGTTGAGCACCTGAAATGTATAAAATAATATTAAAAAAATCACCATCGTTTGGAGGACAACTGTTTGCTTGTTTGGTCTTGGAAGCAAGAAGATCTGAGTCTAATTTCATCTGTGCCTATGTAACACCACCAGCATTTGTGGAGCTACCTCTACATAGAAGAAAATCATTAATTTCAGTGCTTACAGAAATCCAGAACGGTGCTGCTTATATGTAAAAAGACCACTCTAGAAATTATGTATTCCGGTGCCTTTTTGTTTTTCACTCAGTATGAATATTGTTATTTATATTTCACAGTATAGAGTGATATGCATACACGGGAAACTTCAAACTAGTAGTATATTCAGAAACCTTTATAAATAGCTGAATGTGTTTTCATGGCCAGCCTTGAAGACCTGCTGAGACTGCGAATAAACACCTAAGAGGCCAAATAATTTAAAAACTGATCACTAATTGCTGTGTATACAACACTATACCTGTCTGGTCTAAGCAGTATTGAACTATAGATTTTATGCTGCACTGAAAAAGGTAAAAAACTTGTACCAGAGACAGATGCCTGGGAAAACTGTGATCAGACAGAGATTACTTAAACCAACATCAGCTGAAAGTTTTTGTTGCATCCTCTCCCCCTTTTCTTTCACATATTCAAAATATCTGAGCTGAAATTTTGCAAAGTACCCTAGCCTGGTCTGGATCACACCAGTAGCACTTTATTTGAAGCATCTTGTCAATTCTATTTCCTGAAGTGCTGATTGCAGTCGCCGCAATTACAAACGAAAGTGGTTGGTAGCCCTGAAGTTGCCAATGTTCTCTAAGAGCTACTGAATGCACTGCCCCTGCAATACCCCAGCACAAGCAGACCAAACATACCTGATGTATCCTGCTATGAGCAGCATGTGCCACACACTTTTTACATTTATCTGAAACCTGAGCCTAGCAGGAGGCTGGGCAGGACAACCTGCAGGGTCTCCAGTGGCATCAGGCAACCCCTAATTCAGCCCTTGATCTCCACGGACGGTTAACAGCAGCTTTGCTGTCTTTCTCATACAGGAGGCTGGGCAGGACAACCTGCAGGCTCTCCAGTGGCATCAGGCAACCTCTAATTCAGCCCTTGATCTCCATGGACGGTAACAGCAGCTTTGCTGTCTTTCTCATGCAAGAATACCTACATGTAGACACTCAGTTTTTCATATCTGAAGCTAAATTTCAGCCTATACTCCATTAATTCTGTTTGCAGAATGACTTGTTTAAAACTCTTTATTTTTCCATATTTTGGTTGAGATACAAAACCATAGTTGCATGGGTTCATCCCAACACCTTGCAGGTGTATATAACAGGCGGTAGCATTCTTTGTGTTGTTATTTACCATGGATTATCAAGCAATATTGTCTGCTTTGCAGAAATGCTGCTGACATTTTGCATGAAGAGCTATTTGCACTTTATGCTTTTAGCCAAAAATAATAAATCTCACATATCATTCCCTCCTTCCTTTATGAACAGGTAACCTCAGACATGTATGGCTGGGTGTTCAGAGTGAACTGCGGTATAAGCACTTCATGTTTACTTATTCCCCTCAATTTCATTGCTTTTTGCTGAAAAATATATACTTGGCCCATGACACACATTTCCTGTAAGATGTTGCTAATAATATCTAGTCCTCCTGGATACTAAAGCAATGATTTCAGTTTAAGTAAAAGCAAACTAGAGACTAACTCAGTTTCCAAAAGCAATGGTAGATTTGCATGTTGATATGTATCTCCTTAAAAAAAAAAAAAAAGCCTGTTTTCCAGTGGCCCTGAGCATCCAGTCTCCCCAAGCAGGTCCTCTTTGAGGTTAGGACCCAAATAATGGATGTCCTCAAATAAACTCCAGCACCTCTAGCATAACGAAACCCTAATGATAACACATGATGATTTCATAGGTCTTTTCACTTTTCACTTTCCAAAGCTAGTGACTCTTGTTACGTAATTATTTAGCAGAGAGAGCAAGGAGCAAAAAGTTAGATTCATTCAGCCTAATTTTAGATGCCTCTTTGAGGTGCTCAAGTTGAAGGAGTTTTCCTAAGATATTTTTATAAATCATGGAGACACTCTGGCATTCATGGAGATTTGGAAGGGCTGAACCATGCTCTGGAGGTATCTACTGAAGCATAGGCTCTCTTGGGTCTTGATTTAGGTATTCCATAGTGAAAGTTAGGGCAGTTACGGCTGCAGAGCAAATAACTAACAGGACTTGCCAAACCCAGCCAGTGTAACAAGAAGTTTCTCATGACACTCTGACCAGTAAAAGTAACTGATTTTCTTCTTTTCTGTTTGTTTCTGATGGCAGTGGAGAGCTGCACTGCTCTTCACCTAGCAGAGGAGAAGATGCAGCCTCTTCTTTGGAGACCTTGATGACTTCTAGCAAACTTAATATATCAATTATTTTGTTTACTGTAGCAAAATCTAAGAAATAGCAAAGCAAAACTGTTCATGAAGGGACTATATATATCAAAGAAACGAGAGATCTAAGTTAAGGCCAGGAAACAGCAGTAATAGGTCATCTAGTCCATCTCTCTGTTACTATTTCCTTCTTTGGAAGTACATTTTCCCATCCTTTGTACATTTTCATCTCAGGGCAAAGTTTACTGAGAAAGTACTTCTGCAAAAAGCAATTTACATGATCAGTTATTTTCTGTATTCCTTTTTCTGTTATTTCAGCTATTTGTGCCTGGATAAGAGGCTTATATCCTCCCAGCCCAGTCTCTCTTTATCCTGTAGTCAACTCATAATCTGAGGTTCACAGCATTTTAGGATCTTGCTGTTGAAATGATCATGACACCCCAAGTATAGCATGAAGTTGCCCTTGTGGCCCAGGGCAGGAAGGAGAGAACACAGGTTGGAAAAGGATGGCTCTTCTTCGCATTTTCTGCCCAAGGTCAGCTAGGAAAACATGTGAACATGTGGGTGTGGATTTCCTGGCTTGTAGCCATATAGATTTTCTAGAGAATTGTGTTTGACCCTACAAGGCAATCTAGCAGTCATGGAGGAGATTCTTATGAAGCACCATATAAGCATTCAGTAGAAACAGGAACTTTTTTAACCAACTCCATGTTATCCTGCTTGGAGAAATAACAGGTATATGCTAAAGCAATGCTATTTCTTTAAATATAAGAAACTGAAATTTAATGAAAACAATGGACCAAATTCAGTCCAATCTCCATACAAAATGTGTGTGATGGTAATGAGAGCAGATGCTCTGTAGAGGAAAGAAAAATGGAGGTAATATTACAGGAATCATTCTCTCTTATATGCAGCGTGAAACTGTCTATCACTAGCAGTTTTATATGAATTATTTCTACTTTCCTTAGGAAAGAAGAGAACAGGACTTGTTTTTATCCCCTGGCTTGATAGCTACCATGTGAATTTCCCAGCAGCTCTGGAACAGCCCTCGCAGAGCTCATGCTTGAAAGGCATAGTCCTGTGGCAAGGCTGATACTCACACGCAAGGCTTTAGGGGAGTCATCTGCTAAGAGAAGGCATCTAGGGTCCTCTTTATAGACAGGCAAAATGTAAGAATTATAGTCAGAGGTGCCTGTATATCTCATCCTATATCCCTTCTGCCTGGATATGATCCTATGCAACGTGCTCTAGGTGACCCTGCTTGTGCAGGTGGATTGGATTAGACGATCTCCAGAGGTCCCTTCCCACCTCAATGATGTTGTGGTTCCCTTCTCACCTCAGTGTTGTTTGATTCTGTAAAACCGATGGCTCCAACACACAAAATGAAGCAAAGGAACAAAAGTGTCCGGTGTCTGTGTTGACTATGAGGAATAGGTGGCTGCTGCAGCCGTAGTTATCTACACTATAGACACTGGAAGTCAGGCGAATTGAAAGCCACTCACACAGCCCATTAGTGTTTCTGCATATTTACCATAGGGATGGGAGTTTTGGGGACTGTTCTCCACAAAGGTTATTGACATCACGTTTCCCTGCAGTTTCATCGGTCTCTTGTGTACCCGATCATCTTCAAGCTGTACAAGGCAGAGCAGTAATGCTAGATGGCAGCTGAGCTCACCCATATGTGATGGTGTTTGCATGTATGGAGGGAACAGTCACCCTACTTCTCTCCTCGCAGTTTAAGGGGGTATGTATAATTAATGGACTGGATTCCTCAGTGCTGTTCTCGCCACTTTACATAGAAGTAAATCTGCTTGAGTAATGGACGGGTAGATTAGGCCCATTAATTACACTTCACAGCACCTCTGTGTCACATCAGAGTTTCCCTGAGGTCATTTTTAAACTGTCATTCATCTCTCCCTATTTTCAGGGGAGATATGAAGCTGGACTACCCATGGGTTTATCAGACCTAACATGGGTACATCCATTTAGGAGCAGCAGGCAGGACTATGTAAAGAGGACTATGTAAACATCACTCTTGCTGCCGATCTGACAGGTTGGACCACAGTCTGGAGCTCAGCAGAACGAGATACTTCCCATTCAATGCACAGCAGCAGACGTCAGCACAAACAGTCCTGTCTATGCTGATGGGAAAAGAAAGTTGGAGAGAATCAAAAAGAAAGAAGGAAAAAAACTCGTAGTAAAATAACAGAGAGAAAAATAAAACAGTGTTAATGGCTACCATGAGGAATGACTTTCCTGCAACCAACGCATTATACCAATCAGCATGAGGGCAGGATCAATATGAGGGCAGGATCAAGCCCAGAGCCGAGAAAATTAAGTCAAAGAGATGAGAATTTTTTTTTATAAATACATTTCCCAGGTTTGCCCAGAGAAGGGAGCCTACAGTGGCAAAGAAGCAGCAAACAAACAGGAGGAAGGAAAAACTAAGATTAAATGTGCTTGAAAAATGTTCAAGCCCAGAGACAAATGGAAGTGCCTTTTTACTATCACCATGAAAATTCAACATAGAAAATATCAACTTTTTTCACAGTATATTTCAATCTAAACCCCAAATTTTGTCAGCTAGCAGGTGCTTTACTTGCCAGTAAAATATGACATTGATTCACAGA